AAATCCCCCTGGTGCTGCGGCTCAACAGGCTAATCCTCCACCTAGCGGCGCCGGCACACCGGGTTCTAAGTCCGGCCGGGGCGCCGGATTCTGTCCCGGTTGCCCCTCTTCCAGGCCAGCTCTCTGCTGTGGCCTGGGAAGGCAGTGGAGGATGGCCCAAGTGCTTGGGCCCTGCACCCCATGGGAGACCAGGAGAAGCACCTGGCTCCTGCCTTCGGATCAGCGCAGTGCGCCGGCTGCAGAGTGGCGGCCATTGGAGGGTGAACCAACGGCAAAAGGAAGACCTTTCTCTCTGTCTCTCTCTCTCACTGTCCACTCTGCCTGTCAAATAAATAAATACATAAATAAAATAAAATCCTACCTTGAAAAGTACCTGATTATGTGATAAATCATGTGTGCAGACCAAATGGCCTGTGTGCCTTTGGAAAAACTATCTGGATGAATGCCTATTTAGGAAATATAACATAATATTTTCATAATAACTTCTCTGGAATCGCTCAAATCCTGACTTCAAAACTACTTCACATTCACTTGCCAAAACAAACTGTGGTTTAGGTTTTAGTGCAAATCTACTCAAAGTGTGGTCCATGGAATTACACTAAAACTGTTTAAAATGGCTGTGATGAGTTAAGGAAATTCAAAATAAGCATTCAGGAACCTCCACAGCAGCGCAACAGTGTAACTTCATGTCTACTGAATCTAATAATATAAAGCTAAGTTTTTATCTTAAAATTTTTGCACTTCTAGAGACCACTTTCGTTGTATTTTACAGAAGTATCAGTGTGAGAGGAACTAGAATAAAATAAATGTCCTTCACCGAGACAGCTTAGAGTAGCTCAATGACTAAAGAAAAAATTACCCAGACACCTTTTCATACTTTCACTACTTTCAATTACTATTCTTAGAAATGGGGGGGGGGGGTGTAGCAAGAGATTAAAATGCAGGAAAAAGAAAATAGTATCATTTAAAAATAGTATTATTGGGGCCAGCGTTGTAAAGGCACAGCTGCCATGCCGGCATCCCATATGAGCACTGGTTCAAGTCCTGGCTGCTTCACTTCTGATCCAGCTCTCTGCTATGGCCTGGGAAAGCAATAAAATATGGCTCAAGGCCGGCGCCGCGGCTCACTAGGCTAATCCTCCACCTTGCAGCGCCGGCACACCGGGTTCTAGTCCCGGTCGGGGCGCCGGATTCTGTCCCGGTTGCCCCTCTTCCAGGCCAGCCCTCTGCTGTGGCCAGGGAGTGCAGTGGAGGATGGCCCAGGTGCTTAAAAAAAAAAATATATATATATGGCTCAAGTCCTGTACCCACATGGGAGACCAGGAATAAGCTCCTGGCTTCGGATCAGCTCAGCTCTGACACTGTGGCCATTTGGAGTGTGAACCAGTGGATAGAAGATCTCTCTCTCTCTCTCTCTCTATCTGCCTCTCTCTAGCTCTGCCTTTCAAATAAATAAATAAATCCTTAAAAAAAAGTCTTATTTATACTTTGATTTTGTAAATGGCATCATGATGTAAGATTAAACATACAGACCAGGAGTTTAAGATTATAATCAGTATCACTTTAAAAATTATTTATTATAACATTTTTCACATAAGATTCTCAACCCGAGTCTCAATAACTTCAAGCTATACCTGAAATAAATTACTACTTATAAAAGGGTACTTAAATTTTATGAGAGAATAGAATTTTATGCAAAAAATTTTGAAATCCATGCATCCTTTCTTCATAATATACACTTTTCATGAACTTTTTAAGACCCCCCCCATATGCATGGATTTCAAATTTTTGTATCAAAATAAACCCTTTAAATCCATTTTCCTACCAACTTTGTATTTGCATACATAAATAAGGAAATTTAATTAAGATATTTGCCTAAAGCCACGGAATTTCTGGAGTAGAACTTAAAACAGTTTTTCATTCTCATTATTAATTCCTTCTACAACAGAACATACGTGTTCACAAAAAATTAAAAAAACAATGAATGAAATGAACACCACTTATGGCTCAGAATCCCCTCTACTCATGTAACTGTAATCTCCAACACCAAATCTACTTTCTTAAACTCAAAATAAGCAAAACAGAAAAAAAGTTTTTTACAACTAAGTCATAGTATTTCAAAGATGTACTGTTGGTAAATATTAACTTGTATTTTACACAACTGCCTCAGATCACAAAGTCTAAGTCATTAAATTATTACTAGAACAACCTACAACATGTGAGAATTATTCCACTTTTAAATGTATAGTCTTTTTTTTAAATTCTTATTCCACTTGGATATATCTTATATTCCTACATCACCAATGCTAACAGAAGTATAAAAAAGCCGTATGTTCCATAATTTCCCTAGCTTTCCAGAGTTAGTCCATACTTTAAACATGCAAAACATATACACCGTGAGCCTTTCTTTAACAAAAATTTTAACCTCTCAAAACAAAACTACTTTAAAATTATTAAGCAATGAGCTTATAATCATACAAAATTTATCCACCAATTGGGACAAAATTTCAGATTCTTACCACTTAACAATAGTAATACCACAAGGAATAAAAAGATAAATGTATAAAACTATAAAAGCTAATAATTTTTAAATTAATAAATCATCCTTATTACACAAGGAAAATGCTTTCACTGTAACTTTCTGTCTCATACATTAAATTGAATTTAACATATTCCAAAGTTGAACTATTTAGCACACTACAGCTGCACTTTTATTCCATCATGTCAATCAGAAATCTAAATATATCCTAGAAAACAACAAACTTTCTCCCAAGACAGACTGTAATGTGTTATTAGATTTTTGGAATGACCCCTACTTCTGTAGTGTAAACAAATGTTTAGCCAGATCCTGTTGAAATCTTTTGCAACTTTCATTAGAAAGGCAATATTGACAAGAGATCCTTTTCCTTTTTTATGAGTTGCAAAGGAAAATTATAGCTATCTGTGTTGAATACTCTTGCAAAAGACTGACGACAGCAATCACGCATACAACTGTAAAAATAAAAACACAAGAGGAAAAATAGACACCTTGGCTTTCATTCTACTTGCTGTAGTATTCAGCACACCAACCAGGTAGAAAAAAAAATATTAGCTTTAAAAATCGAACATGATTTTTTTCCTAGGGATTTTTTTCCTCATTATGTACTGAAAGGGCAGGCATTTGGCAAAACAGTTGGGTCCCCGCTTCCGACACCCACATCACCTAAAGGAGTACTTGGTTCAAGTCCTGACTTCTCTGCTTTGGATCCAGCTTCCTACTAATGCACCTGGGAGGCATCAGGTAATGGCTCCAGTATTTTTTTAAAGATATATTTATTTATTTGAAGGTTAGAAAAAGAAAAAAAGAAGATTCACTCCCCAGATGGCCACAATGGCCAGGGCTGGGCCAGGCCAAAGCCTGGAGCCAGGAGCTTCATCTGGGTCCACCCACATGGGTACATGGGCCCAAGCACTTGGGCCATCTTCCACTGCTTTTCTGAGGCCATTGGCAGGGAGGTGGAACAGAGGTGGAGCAGCCAACACTCCAACCGTAGCCCATACGAGATGCCAGCACTGCAGATGGTGGCTTAACCCGTTGTGCCACAGCGCAGCTCTGTCACTCATGTGGGAGGCCCAGATGGAGTTGGCTTTGGTCTGACACAGCCTTGGTCTGCTGGGAGCATTTGGGGAGTGAACCACCAGCAGATCGATGAAAGATCTCTGTCTCTCTGTCTTTCAAATAAAATGAAGGAAAAAAAAAAGTTTTAGAACTACCTTCAGGATATCACAAAGAATCAACAATGAATCATTTAATCCTTTCATCAACATTGACAATAAAAGATTGGATATGATCAATAAAAGCAGAAATGTTCTGTACTTCATTAAAGTCACCTTTTAAAAAGTTAAATTCTAAAATTGAAATTGTAGACAACTGCCTGTCTGTCAAAATGATTAAAATTAACCATGATTTTTTTCTGATTTCAAAATCAATCATTAGATTTTAATTAGGTATTATAAAAAACAAGTTTTCACCTCAAACTTTTTCATTAAGAGTACATGTACAAGTCATAGAAAGTGCCTTCCAAAACACTGTGACTTGTAAGTACACCACCCCTCGCTAAAACCATCAAAATCCAGTCTCCCAATTCCATAATACCGGACTAAATCCTTTCCAAGTTTGGAGAAAAGGAACTATTGAAACTTTCAGAAGTGCTATTCAATAAAAACTTAAGTGCTACATCCAAATGGGAATGGAAGCAGGGAAGGACGGGGAAATGTTCCATTTAAAAAAAATCTCTTATATAATCTTTCAATCCAGGCTTTTAAAATCTATCCCCAAAAAATAAAGCAAGCAACATAAAAGCAAAAACAAACAAAAAAAGAAAGAACACTCGCCCTTTTTTTTTTTTTTTTAAAGAAAACTGAACAGGCGTGCATTACTAACTTGATGAACCTACCACAAGCAAACCATTTTTAAAGGAGAAAATACACTCCCTTTGTTCAACACCAATTAACTTTTCTTTTAAAAACATTCACGTAAAGAATTCTGCTATTCATGTAATCAGAAAGTGCATCTTCTCGTCCACATTGTTGTGCTGGGACTCCGCTCATGCCTGAAGTTTCTGTCTGAACTTTAACTTTCCAAGGGAGAAGAACTGGGCTCCTTTCCCACTCGTCTTTCTTCTCCAACTCCCACTTGGGGCTGCCAATCGTGGTTGCTCTGGCTTCCCCGGCTGCAGATGGAGACCCCCACCAACACTTTCCCTCGTAGGGATGTTCGCTGACCTAAATGTTCTCCCGACAAGTACTCGCCGGCTGAAGGTATGGCAAGAATGCTAGCTACACAGGTATGTTCTTAAGGCACCAGCTGCTCCCAGGCGCCCGTGGCTTTTTCATTAACAGCACTCACCGGGGAAGAGATCCGAAGGCGTGGGCACGAACCGGTCCCACGAACCGTAAACAGCGCCCCCTCCCCCCGCCCCGGACCCTCACGGAAACCAAATCCCATTCAAGCGACTCACCTTGGATGACGTGCTCCGGCGAGATGGTCTTCTTTTCCGATTTGTTGCAAATCTCGTTGGCTTCAGAAGATATAAGGTGAATGAATTCAGTGCAGCAGTTCACCACCAGCTCTCGGGCATCGTTGGCCACCCGGACATTGGGCAGAGTCTCTTTGATCATCTTATTGATAGCAGCTCGAGGGATCGTGAGATCATCATCGTTGCCAGACGAGGAAGCCATCGTACCTTCTTGTCTCCCGCGCGCCCCGACTTTTCAAAAAAACTCCCCGGCCCTGGTCCCCTACTCCACGGAAATTTGTCAAAAGGCCGCCCTGATGCCGGGGGGCGCTCTGAAGAGGGTGTAGAAAAATGAGGAAGGGGGAGGAGCGCGCCCTCGAGAGGGCGGGGAGCCCTCTGGTGTGTGATTTAGGGCGAGTTTGGGGAGAAAGTCGGAGGAAGAGGGGGGTTCTGGGGACAGCACTGCTCAAGCTAGGGAGGAGAAAGCACGATGGTCTGGAAATTGGCTGGAGAACCACCTTCGGTATCCTCTCAGAGGGGCGGGCGCTGTCGCCTAACCAAGTCCCCAACGACGCTGGAGCAGAGGCAAGATCCAGGGGCACTGGCCTCGCCGCAGGACCGGGCGGACACCCACCGGGCTCGGCTCTACAGAGCCCGAGCCCCCGCTGCCGCCGCCGCCAGCAGCCGTTGCCGCCGCCTCTGCCGAACCATCCTTCAGACACCCGCGCCGCCGCCTCACAACATGTCGGCCGCGACCGCTACTGGAACCGCGGCGGACGCCTGGGAACGAATACGGACAGAGCCAGGCACCGGGGGTGCCGCAGGGGCGGCCGGCGTGGCCGTTTAGCTCGAACGCAGATCGTAGAAGCCGAGGCGGCGGCAACGGTGGTCCCTTCTGAGCCCAGGGAAGAAGGTTTGCTGGAAGCCGCTCCCGACACCCTTTGCGCCACCGGAAGCCGCTTCCCCCCAGCTTCCCCCACCTCCCAGACCGACTTCCGGGTGTGGCTACCTCCCTTCCCCCACCCTCGTGGGCGGGAACCGCCCGTCCTCGCAGCCAGCCGCTTCCGCTCGCTGCTGTCCCAACACACGCGCTGGGACCCGGGACCCCGTTCCCTGGCTGGGGCTAGGGCTGGGGCAGGGCGAGCGTGCGCCTCGCTGTAGCGGGGGTCCCAGTCACGCGCTTGCTCTGCAGCTGCAGTGCCAGACCCGGGAAGGGCCGGCTGGAGGGCCGGGCGAGAGGAGATCGACTCAGGCCTGGAAACAGTCAGTTAGCTGCGTTCGGGGACAAAGCAGGGCCGGGTATTGTCAAAAGAAATCTACCCAGTTACCCGAATTGGGATTGACATGGAAAGGAGCGGGGTCTGGGCCCAGGAGTGGTAAGCGGGGAAAGCAGACCCCCACGTGCGTGTGCTTGCACTGTCTTGAAGAGGAAGCTTTGCAGATATGTAATTGATGTTATTCGGATCAAAGCTCTCAGGGCCTCCACCTATTTTCTCTTTCATGGGAGACAACTTAAGAGAAGTCACGAAATGGCTAAGCCGGAAACTGGAAGTCAGACGCAACGTATTAACATTACAAGGTTCCAACTTGGCCATTTTTCACGGTTTACCACCCCCCCACACACACACACACACGTTGACTTCTGGAGGGGAAGAATGATATGGCATCCTCTGATTTTTGCTTCTTTTCACGGTAATATCAACAGGTCTCGAGTTTTTCACAGAAATTATGTTATTTTAAAAAACAATTTTTATATTGTCACGTAGGAGAGGCTACATTGTACATAATGGGATGTTGCAATTTTCAAAAAGATACCATTTCAGTCCATTTGGACACATTTCGTTCAATCATTGTTCTTGATGATGTTACACAATTGGGTTGTTTGGAATGTTTTCTTAAAATTTTCAGTCTAAAACCCCAAATGTGCCTCATCAAGAAGACTTTATAGTTTATTACACTGACTTTTTAATATTTTCTCCAGAATCTTCTGGGTTCTTTAATTTCTCAAGTGTACACCCTTGTTTTTTAGTGCCATTAAGTTTAATCAAAACAAAATGTCTTTCATAACATGAATTTAAAAACTCTCCAACATAGGAATGTGAAACTTAGATGTATCATCTTTGCAATGTGTTTAAGACAGTTTACTGGTGGTTTAAAGACACTATAGTGAGAGCAGCCGGTTGGGACATCGGCATCCCCTCTCAGAGTGCCTGGATTTGAATCCTGGCTCTGTTTTTGATTCCAACTTCTAGTAATACAAACCCTGGGAAGTAGTGGGTAATGATGACTCAAGTAGTTGGGGCCCTGCCACCGACATGGGAGACCCAGATTGAGATTAAGTTATTATGTTGTCTGAATTTATCTTGTCCCCACCAAGTGTATCCATATGAAAAAGCTAGTCAGCAAAAAAATCCTGAGGTATCACATTGTCACCAACCTAGATCATGTCACCACTGAAGAAAATGTAACAAATTTGTTCTCTTATAACATTCATGCTATTTACTTATGCTATATAAGTCCATAGAGCACACCATCTAGTAAATTTATTATTTTACGCTTCTGTAGTATGTGTACTATAGAGACCTAGATTCCAACCCCAGCTTTTTTTACTTTAACCTTACTTTTTTCTTAGAAATGGAAATATTAAGTAACTCACTGGATTTAAGGTCAAATGAGAGGATATGTGAAAGCATTTTTATATTATATAGTATTTTTTAATATTTTTATTTATTTTACTTGAAAGAGTTACACAGAGAGAGAAGGCGAGGCAGAGAGAGAGAGGGAGAGTGAAAGAGAGAGAGAGGACTTTCATCTGCTGGTTCACTCCCCAGATGGCCACAAAGGCCAGAGCAGCACCGATCCAAATCCAGGAGCCAGGAGCTTCCTCAGGGTACCCACATGGGTGCAGGGGCTCAAGGACTTGGGCCATCTTCTACTGCTTTCCCAGGCCATACCAGAGAGCTGGATCAGAAGTGGAGCAGCCAGGACTTGAACTGGCACCCATATGGGATGCCAGCACTTCCGGCCCCTATATTGTATAGTATTATATGATGTTATATAGTTTATTATCTTTATCAGGTCTAGGCAGTCTTCAGTAATATTACCAAGTATTTTATGCCTGAGAGGAAACTAAATAGAAATGGTAGTGCAATACATCATGACATATGCTCATCTGTATATATAAATGACATTTAAATAGTCATTTATATCCCTGTTTTTATTTTTGTTTGTTTGTTTTACTTTTTTGACTAGAATTAGACAGTGAGAGAGAGAGAGACAGAGAGAAAGGTCTTCCTTCTGTTGGTTCACCCCCCAAATGGCCGCTACGGCCGGCGCTGTGCCGATCCGAAGCCAGGAGCCAGGTGCTTCCTCCTGGTCTCCCATGCGGGTGCAGGGCCCAAGCACTTGGGCCATCCTCCACTGCCCTCCTGGGCCACAGCAGAGAGCTGGAGTGGAAGAGGAGCACCTTCTGAATCCCGCTGCTCTGCTTCTGATCCAGCCTCCTGCTAATGTGCCTGGGAAGGCCCAGAACTTGGACTTCTGTTACCCACATGGAAGACATAGATGCAATTCCTGCTGCTGGCTTCAGTCTGGCCCAGACCTAGCTGTTGCAGCTATCTGGAGAGTAAACCAGCAGACGGAAAATCGATTCGTGTCTCTCTCTCTCTCTCCCTTCTCCCTTCTCTCTTTCTCTGTCACTCTGCCTTTCAAATAAATAAAGTTTTTTTAAATAGACTTTTTGAGAATAACATCTACTTAATGAGTTTTAAAGAGTGCTAGAGTGCGTATATAAACATTCTAAAAATCATGATAAGGTAGAATAGAGCTGTAGGTTATTTCTCTTGTGATTGAGTTAGGCTGATTCTGTAGTAACTGTCTTTTTAAAACAAAAAACATTTATTTATTTATTTATTTGAAAGTGTTACAGAGAGAGGGAGAGAGAGAGAGATTTTTCCATCCATTGGTGCACCCCCCAATGAACTCAATAGCCAATGCTGGGCCAGGCCTAAGTCAGGAGCCAGGAGCTTCCTCTGGGTCTGCCACATGGTTGGCAGGGGCCTGAACACTTGAGCCATCTTCCACTACTTTTCCCAGGCTGTTGGAAGGGAGATGAATCAGACACAGAACCGCCTGGGCTCAAACCAGCAGCCACATGTGATGATGGCATCACCAGTGGTGGCTTTACTTACTATGCCTACCAGCCTCTGCAGTAACTGTCATAATGTGTTTTCAACTAAAATTACTGACAATAATAGATCTATAACATTGTTAATTTGAAGCTTAACATTTTAAAAAAGCAAATAACAATTCCATTATGTTCGTTTGCCATTGCAAACACAGTAATTGCCATTCAGCAACAATTCAAATACAAGTACTCTTAAATGTATTCTGTTATCTATATTATTTCATTTAGTCCTCAGAACAACCTTGTTTGGCTGTTTTAATCTCCATCTTATAAATAAGGAAAAGAAGCTTGGAAAAGCTAAACAGCTTAACATAAAGTTAGGACAGCAGTCAGTATATGCTAGATTATGTTGCAAGAACAAATTTGCAAATCTCCAAAGGCTTATTTCTTGTTCATTCTATGGGTTTATGTGTTTGCCATATGTCAGCAAGACAGCTTCACATGTGTTAATGCCTCAAGAATCCATTAGCATTGTTGAATGCATGCAGCTGAAGAAAAAAACCACACGAGGACATATTATGGTTTGTGAAAGTCATGTAGCCTGGAATGGCTGTTTATAGAGTTTATGAAGAGGTATATGGGATATGACACTGGAAAAGTAAGGCCCAAAATAAATTAGTGTCTGTTGTGAATTACGGCTAGGTGGTCACTATTTTCTTTAATTTCCATATAGCCATACAATGTTATGACAGGTGGGCAAACAGTTTACTGATTTGTTCAGTCTCACAGAAAATAATGGATCTGAAATTTGAAGCCAGATTGTTATTTAACTCCAAATTTGAGACAAGATTCAATATGGTAACTATCTCTTTTGGTAAAAAAAAAATACATTAGTCATAACACTTTAAAAATATGAAGCACTTTCACGTGTTTTTGGTTGTTAGTTTTTAATCACACAGGTGAGAAAATCAGAACTCAGTGTCATTATTCAGGGTCACAGAGTAAGTGGCAGTTTGGAAATGCAACCCACACTTTCTGACTACAAAGTCTCAGGTCTTTCCAACTTCCTTTAAGGAGTCTGGAGTTTCTTTTGTAGGCAGTGGAAAGAGCCAATGAACATTTCTGAGAAGGGAGAATGACATAAAAAAATAATGTTTAAAAAAGCTTATTCTGGGATAGCATGTGGGATGGACTGAAATAGACAAGAACACTAGTTATTAGGCTATTGCAAAAACAAGTTAATGATGGAGATTTGAGCAAAGAGAGTTCAGTGGTAATAATACGGGGGGAGGGAATAAATCAGAGGCCCTTGGAAAGAGTTCACAGGAGTGCATGTGCTGTGAGAAAGGAGGAGCATGGCCAAGTAAGAATGGGAGGAAATTATAGCCAAGCGGTGGTGGATTTGAATGGAGAAAAATGACCATCTAAATGGACATACCCCATGAGACTGGAGAGTGGAAATGCAGGAGTCATCTCTACATAATAGGCTCTCAAGAAATATTTGCCAACTTTGAAGATGGATGAAGACTTTTAAGGATGGCAAAGTAACAAAGAAAGCAAACAGAAGAAAATCGGTCAGGAAAGACTTGCTGGAACCATAAGGTAAAGGAAGTTGTAGGGAGAGAGTTGCGGGAGTGTGAGATGCCACAGAGAAGCGCTGTTGGAAGGGAATCGAAGGTGGTGGCACTACAGTCAAAGGTCAAGAGGAGAAAGCCAAAGTTAACAGGCAAGGAATGAAGGAGAGGAAGAACTGAAGCTAGGGATCAGAGAGCACCCTTTCCAGAAGTTGGGTGC